AGAAACTAAAAAGTTGAAAAATAATATAAATGCTCTACTGGCTAACAGTAAAAATAGTATGGACATAGAACTCATCATTGTTTATACCTACAAATGCTCTATACTCATTATTCATTTCTGTTCCTGCCCCTATAGCAAATTTTAAATGCATGCGCGCACACACACACATTATATATATATATATATATATATAGGGACAAAGTGGAAAACCTATAAACAATACGTTTCACAGAAAAAACAAATAGTGTGTTTGGCTCCTTCACGTTAGAATGAAAGACAAAACTGTATGTAAGGAAAATGCACTGGGTTCTCTGAGGATAAGAGATTACCATAAATCAAATTACCTTATCACATCTGATAACCAGAAAGTGTCCCCAACACATTTTCCTTAGATATAGTTTTGCCTTTCATTCTAACCTGAAGAAACTAAAAACAGTAGATACCTTTTAAGCAAAATACATCATTTATAGCTTTTCCACTTTGTCTCATTATCTTCACTTTTGTTTTGGGTACTATCATACATCCTACACACACACACACACACACATGTGTATGATGGCTGTCGACTTGTTAGACAAGAGCATTGCTGACAGGCAATGCCCATGCTGAGATTATAGTTGTACACTGCAACAACTCGCATCTACAAGACTCAGAACTCCAGATACAAGCAGATGCAAGTGCAAGATTATATATATATATATATATATATATATATATATATAGTATGTGTGCATGTATAAAAAACTGAAAAATATGCCTGTCAACAGTTTTGTTTAGTTTCTTTTTTTGTAGTAAAATTCACGTCTTGTTTATACACTAGCTGCATTAAAAATATGAACTGAACTGACTTTAAAATGTACCCACCAATTATTGCAATGGTCACACTGACTTAACAAAAAAGATTCTATTTCATCCAGACTCATTTACTCATAATATAAAGAGGTGTGGCGAGATATATTAGGTATATTAATTAGATACAATCTATGTAGCTGCACCTGTTCCACTAACACAGATTTTTATCCTCCATACTCTACCACCATATAATTTCATTAGTATTTAAATGCAATATTTGTAGCCTTCATATTGGCTGAGCATTGGGTTAAGTCTGTACACAAAACTATTAATTGAACCAATGAGTTTACCTTTGTCTGGCACTGCATCACAAGTGTGACAAATTGTGAGAATTGAAGTTGTTATTATACTACCGAATGGTATAAAGATGTTAGTTTGCTAACCAACAGCCACATTTGCAAAATGTTATTTGCATATAAAAAAAATGATTAATAAATTTAAGAGACATAAAATGTATATTCTTTTTAGCAAGGCATGTTTAGAAGAACAACTGCTGATTATATATATATGTGTGTGTGTGTGCATATAAAGTGGGTACTGAGGTCAACACTGTGTGGCTTGACCACAGTGCCCATTTTTACATATGCCCTATCTCTGACATTGAACACTTTTGCCAATAAATATAGCATACCTATAAACTATATATATATATATATATATATATATATATATATATATATATATATATATATATATATAGTAATTTAATATAGTAAGGTAATGGCTTTTTATTTATCAATCCAACAGATTTTACGACTTAAAACATTATTTTTAGTGGATAATCATATTTGAGTAGATGCTCCGTTTATTTAAATAATTGAGTTCTAATGCCCCTTAAGGGACTGTGTTATTGATCAAATCAAACCTATAAATAATTACATCAGTCACACTATTACATGTCTATCCATACTACTTATGTTACACCCATCCAATCACAATTCCATTAGAACTCACTTAACTGCACACACAATCCTAACAGACTCCATCTGAAACATACTAGTAGAAAATACAAGCATAATAACCTCATCCACATGTAAAAAAAGATTACATGGCCACAATGTGCTGTGTTTGGAAAATAAAACATCCCTTTAACTCTAGGTACATACACACAACTCATGCAGTCAGTTAAAAAGTAAAAATAAAATCATCCTTTATAATGGGTATAGCCAAAAATGTTCAGAAATGCAGAACATTTGGACAGTTTTTTTACACACACTGTGTCCAGAAAAGAAAACACTTGTACAAACACAAGAAAAATTAAATAATAAGCTTAGTTGCAGTATTTTGTCAGTCATCTTTAACAAAATGTGTGTGTGTGTGTATATATATATATATATATATATATATATATATATATATATCCACTAATCAACCACTATTTTATACCAGGCATTTCATGTATAGACTAACTCAATCAATTAGTAGAAAATGTCAATTTACAATCTATCTTTTATATACATTATCATCAACCCATCTAATTTTGTTCATAAAAAATTTAATGTATAAAAAAATATTAGTAATTTTTTTAAGCACAAAAGCATCAAGGTTAGCTAAGTCTGGTTCAAGGCCACAAGTAACAAGGAACCAATGAGTAGAGCAGTATTATTCTGCAAGACTAGCTTATAAACAACTACTGTACAATGAGGCACCCAAAGCTTTAGTCACTAACTATTGAGGAATTAAATCAATGTAGTCAGAATAGTTTCCTAAACAAGTTTGTTGAATAATTAAAATGAAGTATTAAAAAACCTTAAACAGGTGCATTTTTAAAGTCTTAATGCATAAATTGAAAAATCTGTTTTAAGTTTATTTTATTACCAAATTAACCATTGGAACATTGAAAACATTTTTTATCTTAAGTAAGATATGAACCCTCATTGCCTTTTTACTTTGCCTCTTTCATCAAACTTTTTTTGTCAGCTATTTATTGAAGGATAAGATACAAATAATTCAAAAGAAATTCAAAATGAACCCCTTAAGCCCAATTTGGAAATTGAATTGGTTTCATAATTTGAAAAATAATGTTGAACCTTTGTAGTATTAGTAAGTTGATCTCAGAAGCCATCCATTGTAAGTAATCTTGATTTTTGTTAAATTCTGTCTAGAAATGTAGTGCCAAAGTTTGTCTATTTCAATGAACACTTAGAGAAAAATAATAGGTTTTATAATAATTTATTATTAATATAAAACCTATTTTTTCTCTATTTTTTATAGGGTGACCACTCTAATTAAACCCCAAATTACATTAATGCAAAATAAATAACCATTAACATCCTATTTCTAAATTATATAATATTATTGTTATATTTGTAATTTCTGTCCTTGGTTTGGACCTTTAAAGATTCATAATTTTTTTTACAATGTTTATATACAATTCTTATGTACAGTGGTTACCCCTTTGTTTCCTGTGTTATTCTTACTGGATACAATTTTGCTTTCTATAGTTTTATTTACTTTTGATCAACTCCCAGAAACAAGTAATTTATAAGTTTTACTCTTAATAGTTTCAAAGTGCAAGTATGGTGATGCTGGCAATTTGGTTTTGCTAAAAAAAAAAAAAAAAAAAAAAAACAATTATAAAATTCTTCTATTAAGGGAGGAGGTCAAAGTTCACAAATTAAAAAATAAAATCTGTATGCTGAGGTTAAGATCTCCAGTAAAAATGAATCTTCTGTCACACAATCTTTATTACAATATGTTGCTATAATTGTTTTTCTTTTCTCATTTCACCCCAAGCAAGGTGGGAATGCCACTAGTATGTAGAGGGTTACAGAGAGTGAAAGTAAGAGAAAAGACTGGGTGTAAAGGGGATTGAGGAAAGGATAAAAGATGAACAGGGTTCAAGACAACAGAAGATGGCAATTGCCATTGCATTTACATTTTTGGAGTCAAGCATCAGCCATACTGATGACAGGCAGGGAAGTTTCTCTATGGTGGTTAAATGAGAGTAGTTTAGTTTTGGAGGCATTAAAATTTACAGGCCATTTCCTTAAACCACTTAACCACTGATTGGTGGTCCTTTTCAAGAGCAGTGGCCAGGTTAACTTTGTCAGCTCAGATGGATTTGCTATTGAGACAGGAGTAAATGGGTAGTGTCATCTGCATAAATGCCTACTTGGGAACTGATGACATCAGGAAGATCATTGATGAAGATCAGAAACAGCGTAGGACCCAGGATAGAGCCCTGGGGAGTCACCCACATTTGTGTGAAAGGATCTGGGAGTGAGCCTGTTTAGAATGACCTTCATTACATGATTTGATAGAAATGATTGGATTAAATCAAACAATCGTCCTATAATACCATAGCTCTGAAGCTTACATAAAAGACCAGCATGCCAAACCCTGTTAAATGCCTTTGAGATATCTAGAGACACAGCTCAAGCTTTGCTATTATTATCAAGAGCTTGATATATGTATTCAATGATGTTCTATTTTTATTTTAGCTATTGTTGTTAATCTCTTACTATACCTAACCTATAAATTAAACTTCATCATTGGCATGTATTCATGAAAAAAAAAAATAAAACATAGTAATATGTTTGAATATTACAATAATTTAAGTGTCTCTATTTTCCAAATTATATGAGTGTTAGGAAATTTGTTGTATTTATGAAATTATATTAAAAAAATTGTAACATTTTAACTGCTTCTGATTACTAAAATGTCACATTCTTAATACATATATAAAATTTGAAAATTGAAGTCTACGATTAATGTTTATTGTTATATCTGATAATAATTCAACAGACTTATATTGGATATTCACCCTGATGAGTAGTGTTATGAGAAAATCTGATATCAGTCAAGAGAGAAGTCATTTGAAAATTTATTAATGTAATGATAATTTTCACTTCAGTTATCGAATGTTTTTCTTTGATCATTAAATCTTTAGTAATTTTTATGTAGGTGTTATTGATTTGTATTTAATATATACAAGACTCAGTACTATCTGTAGTTTCAGGCATCTGCTGAAGGTCTTAGAATATATCTGCCATAGACAAGTAGACACTGGTATAATATATGCTTCATGAATAGATGATATTTTTCACAAACTAAAATCTCATAATTTCATACATTTTTCATTTGGGATATCATAAGAGTGTAGTGAAATAAACAAAATCAAGCTGATGGCCAAAAGACAAACTTACCAGCACATGGACCTCCAAGACATCCAAGAGCAATCATGAAAGACAAGTAACCATTGCCAATAGCAATATAATGTGGTCCCAGCAACTCACGAGTCACTTGGGACATGAATGTTGTCCAGAAGCCACTGTAGAAACCAAAGAGCAAAGTATAACCAATCTGGCCAGTAAAGTTCTCAAATAGCAATGGGCAGATCCCTGTGACCACTGACCCAAGGCCAAGTGAACACAAGATAGCTGTCACATCATCCAAAGTGGAGTTGTGCCCCATGAATGCAAAGATAACGCGACTGGTAAAGCTTGCCATGCCTATACAAGACACGAGGAATGTAGCGGTGCTAAAGTCTGTGCCCATGCTGATGGCATAGGAAGGGAGGAAGAGATAAATAATGGTAGAGCCAAAACTCCAGAACAGGTTCGCGATGCACATGGCATAAAAGAGTGGATTGCGCAGTGGCAGGCAGGAGAGCAAGGGCAGTAGACGCACTTCTTTTTCACATTTGAGTGGTTTCATTACTGCCCCACAGACACAGAGGTTGAGTGTTGATGCTGACAGCAGCAAAAGGGTACCACGCCAAGCATATTCTTCCAACAAGTAGCGGACAATTATTGGGAAAACTATAATCCCACACCCGATTCCGGCTAAAACAGTGCTGAGTGCCTGGTAGCGGCATTTATGGAAATACTGCTCAATAGCCACAATTGATGGAGAGCACGCAATTCCAAAACCAATACCTACAATATAACAAAAGAAAGTAAAATTTAAGAAAATTGTTGATAGGTCTGTTTTACTACAAGCAAATACTGAATGACCAAAAAAGGTTATCATTTATCAAGTAAAAATAGAAGTTAATTTGATGCCCCTTCAGCATGTGATCTACAGCAACACATATCTATGAAAATATATGACCTACATGCCAAATGTGATCTGTGAAAGTGCACTGCATTAATATTTATAAGAAAGTAAAATAAGTCTTTGTTTTATATATATATATATATATATGTATATATGTATGTATATATGAATGATATGAATACTATTCCTGTCTGTACATGGTTTGAATATCATTAAATAATGCAACAAATAAATTTTGGGGATTCAATTGCATAATTTTCCAACACATAAAATCTAGATGAGATTGAAATGTTTGGATTGGTACAATGTACACTGCTCATATTTTTAAGATGACAGATCATAGTGTTCAGCAACAATTATTCGATGCTTCTTGGTGGTTGATGGTGATATGGATGTAATATTGATTAAGATTCAAATATGTTGGCCATTTGTCTGATAGAATGACAGAGCCTGCTTGCACTTCTCTCAAATTAATTGGCTCTAGAGTGACTCTGTCATTTTTATACCACCTAGTCGTAAATAATTTCCGGTCATATGTATCTTAATTTTTTAATGCCATTTTCATTATTATTTTTAAAATGAATTGCACATGTAGATCATATTCTTAAATGTAGCTCAAATGCTGAAGAAGAATCATGTATCTAGATCACATGCTGAAGTGGTACTGATAATTCTTTTGTTTTCAACATTAACTTTATTGAACAACATATTTACCATTTTGTTCCATTATTATCTATCATCTTTCAAGTAACTTCTTAATTCCATCCTCGCATAACATTTTACATTTCTGAGCAAAGAATTGTTTGAGATGTCTTTAGCAATCTTCCAGTAAATTATAATTCTTTTATTTTTAATTGAGAGAATTCTGTAAAGACTGGAATAAATGATAAGCTAATGGTTCAATATTTGGTAACTATAATGTAAGAGGGAAAACTTCCCAGCCAAGCTATAAGAATTTTTTTATTAATCATCAAAGAAAGCTGCAGTCTAGTATTATCCAGATGGAATATCATACACTTTCTTTTAACTAATTTTAGGCATTTTTTTTAAAATTCCTTTGTTTAATCAGGAGTAGCACTTGTTCAAGACAATTATCTAGTTCTTTGGAAGAATCTCTTGTTGCAGACTTTCCCAATCCCATCAGCATCACCTTTTTTTTTTTTTAAAGGAAGTCTGGTTTTGGTGTAGTAAGTGGTGGTTCAGTTTTTACTTACCCTGCAATCTTTTTCATTACATATTGTCATAGACTATTCACTTTTTTGTTACCCATAAAAATTTGTTTAAACAACAATGTTACATTTAAGTAGCAAATTGCATATGGAAATGCAGTCCAGTATCTTTTTGTTTGTGTCTAAGATACTCATCAAAGCAAGTAAATGATGTTCACTATTTGATTTGTATATTTTGTGTGTGGAGATTATTCTTAAGTAGTGTTTTAATTTGATCATTCTTTACTCAATTGTTCAGCATTGTTCAGCAAGAAATGTTTCTGTAGACATCCCTGTTCTTTTTTTTTTAAACAATGTACTTCAACATCTACCAGCCTGATTTAGTCAAGAATTTAAAAAAAAAAATCATAGGAATGCAGTATTGAACCTTGCTGAAAGGCACATTTTCTTTGTATCCTAACCATTATCGGAATACAGAATCAATTATCTTGGGCTACTCCACTAAAAACATCACGGTTCTTGACAAAAGATCTTATAATGTGACCCTTTTACACAAGTTCAAGAGCATCATAAAAAGAATGAGGTGGGAACTCTTCTTTTTTAAACACAAAAACGAGTATAACAAATTAAAAGATGCCAAGCTTTATGGATTTAAGTCCCAAAAAACACCACCATGCGACAAACTATTATTGGACTTCAAGAAAGAACTATTCTCGGTAATAGACAAAATTAAATTTGCTGAAACTACGAATGAGCTACAGCAAAAAATACTAAAGGATGTTTCTATGATCAAAAAATCCAACAAAATAATTATCAAAGCAGATAAGACAGGTAACCATTACAAAATTGATGTGGATATGTACCATAAAGCTATTAACAAGGAAGCTAATAAGTTTTATAAAAAGGCAACCAACAATTGAGAAAATAACATCAATAGTGAAGACAAGAAAATAACCACTGAACTAAAAATTGATGATAGGATCTACAAATTCCACAAACAACAAGCATTCATCACAGTTAACATTTGCCATGCTAATTTCTTTATAGAATTGTTCCCCCTGCCACTGCATTTTTGTGAGGGTGCAAAAACATGAACACCTACTGTTTTAAAATTGTTATAACTTTCTTTGTATTGTGCATATAGATTTTGATATTTGTTCACTAATAAAATAATGAATGAGTAATAATTTGATATAATGCATGTTTTGACATTGAAAAAAAAAAAAAATTGAAATACGAAGTAAAAAAATACACTAAAAAATACATAAAAAATTCAATGTACTTGAACTTTTATTACTCCTTGTGGAGTTCTGGGGGTGCAATAAGCAAAATCACTAAGGAGGCTTTCATTTTGTCAAAAAAGTGACGTATTTCCTCGTGTTTACATACAAGAAGGAACAAGCATTTGTTTGCTCTTTCTTTCACCCGACTCATATTTATTTGTCTCGTTGACAAATAAAGTTATTATTTCATTGTTTTTTATATAGACAAAATAATTCACCTTCAAAATGCTATCAGGTATATCAATGATTGCCAGTAACTTCCATAAAATTCCATAAAAGGCACTGATAAAATTTTTTAAAGATCACAAACTAAATATTACCACTATCACCAATGCTAAAGTGATCAATTTCCTTGATGTGACCTTATATTTCAATTATAGTTATTACAAACCGTATACTAAAAAGCTATATAACCATAGATAAGTCAGTAAAGAATCAAAACACCACCAAAACTTCTAGATAATTTACATAAATCAGTCCAAGTTAGATTATCTACCAACTCCAGCAATAAGGAAATATTTGATAATAATAAAATTAAATATATAAAGACTTTAAAACTAAGCAATCATAAAGTAAATTTAGAGTATTTAGAAAAAAACAAAGAAGGTAAAAATAAACAGAAATGCTATAAGTGTAGCATTATATAGTTTAATCCACCTTTAAATTGTAATGTTCAAACTAATACTGGAAGAATTTTCATAAATTTAATTCATAAGCCCTTTAACCATTCACCAATACTAAAAATAAAAATAATGTTAAGATCAGCTATAGCTGCATTAATACCATAGATAAATCTATATCCCAACATAACAACATTATATTAAACAAATATATTTCCAACAAGGACAACATAATTTTTTTGAAAAATAAATGCAACTGCCAAAAAAATATGATCTGTCCCTTAAACAGTTAATGTAAGACTAATAATAATGTATACCAAGCTAGCATACATTCTGGTACAATCTTAAATTTTATTTTGGTCCCACTGAAAATCCATGAAAATTTTGTTTCTACCATCATCAGATGACTTTAGGTAATATAAAATACAAAAACAACACTGCTCTCTCTAAATACTTCTGGCAATTAAAGAATGATGGCAATACACCTTTTATCAAATGGGGATATTATAGAAAGAGCCAATTCTTATAACGGGAAAGGAAATAGATGTAACTTATATCTTGTTGAAAAATTGGTTATCTTGAAACACTTAAATAATCCAAGCTTATTAAACATGAGAAATGAATTGATGGTTACATGTAAGCATAAAAATAAATATCTGCTTAAATATGGTGATCCAGATTAATTTTAAATGTAAATTACAGTTGTTTTTTTTTTAAAAACCCAAGAAACAAGTAATCTCTCTTTATGCTTAATATAAAAATAAAAAATTAATATTCACAACTCTAAAATAATTTTTTTTACATACATACACACACACAAATCCCATTTTTTTTAAATGCCAAATATAATTTTAAAATTAAAACAACTCTAGCATAATATATAACTGTGCCAGCATTGTGATAACCAGATACTTTTTAAAATTTAAATTACATAACGGTCAGTATATATAAATGTGTGTGTGTGTGTGGGTGTGTGTGTATATATATAAATAACATTATGATAAATATGATGTAAAATATTTTGTTAAAAGAAAATATGAATGATGAATACAAAATAATGTAGAAGAAAAAATACTTGTATGTGTCAAAACAGTGACAGTATCTTATGAGATTTTGCGATAGTTAAACTGGCTATTTTAGCCTATTTTTTTAGTCAAAATTGCATATTATGTATGAAAACCAGCAGCGGTATCTTACAAAGTTTTCTTGAATAGCTCTATTTACAATTAAAAAAAAAAGGTGACTCCTCATTTATAATTCTACACATTTTTGGCACACAATGCTTTCATTGGTTATTTTATATTTTAGAATTTTAAAATTATTCTGACTCTTCTAAAATCTTAATTTATGCTGGTTTGTAGACTGTAACTTAGCATGTTTATAGCTTTCTTTAGGTTCTACTTTCCTTGTAAATTTACTTTACTATTTTTCTAAGTAGTTTAATTTTACTTTTAAAGTTGTTTTCAGTTTTAAATTTTACTGATTTTGTTAATGTTTACATTTAATTATAACACAACCAATGATATGCTCACTACAACAGTGAGTGCATGCTTATATTTTTTTTTATAGGTTAAAATGAATATGGCAGAAGTTACTTCCCTTGACCAAAAAAAAAAAAAAAGATGAACCCAGGAGCAAAATTAATCCACTCAAGAAGGATTGAAAAAAAAAAAATTGTCACCATATTTTTTTTTATGTTTTTATAGGATGTTTCTAAAATTAGTCATCTACCAAAAATGCATCTGGTTTATGAGTGGATTGTTGGTCTTGTAATTAATTTCTTTTGCCTAAGGTAGCTTGTGCTCTT